GGGGGCCCACCCACCGGGAGCCAGCAGGCAGAAAGCTAGCCAGCCCGAAGGCTGGCGCTCCCCGCCCACAGCTCCCTGTGCGCCGGAAGCATCCAGGAAGGTTCTTTTTTAATTGTGACTGTTTGGGGTTCACATGCTTCATTCATCTGTATGTTAAATTTCTTTTTTTTTTTCTGGTACTGGCAATCAAATTCACGACCTTGCGCTTGCCCGGCAAGCGCTGTGCTGCGGAGCTAAATCCCCAGCCCCTAAATTGTTTTATTTTATTAGGAAAGTTTTCAGCTATTATTTCAGCAAACAGATTTTTTATGGTGTTTGTGCTATCTTCTGACTTTTTGCTAACTCCAGTTTATCTTAATTAGCTTTCTTTGCATCATCTTGGACTTTTGGACACATTTTGGTCTTCTCTTGTTTTTAAAATGCCTCTCATTAACTGGTTACTGATAACAGCTTTGTTGTCTAAATCTGAGACTCTGTCCTTACTTGATCACTTCCGCTGCCCATACTTCCAATAGACGTTTTAATCATCTGAATTTCTATTTAGAGCCCCTTTTTGGCCTCTGATCCTTCTTATGCATACCATACATGTTCTGTGTCATTTTGTTTAGCTTTTCTATCTTTTCATTAGTGCATTCTTTAAACTAGCTGATTATGTTCTATAGTTGACCCAATGTCTTGTTACTTATAACTTCTGTTATCTTGCCAATTGCCCTATTGAACTGTTTTATAATTTACTCTCATACTATTTTGGATAATTTGGGTGTGGAGCGTTTGTTCTCCCCTTTGATACCCTATGCATCAGCTTCATGGGATTTGGGAATTTTTGGAGGCATTTTGTTGGTTTGGTTTCTCATGTTTCTATGTTTGTTGGTTTATTTTGTTTTGAGGCTTATGGGTTTATTGCAGTGGAATTTTTTTTTTCTTAGTATGGAGAACTCTTTAGTTAATTTCTCCCTTTCAGTAATATTTTCTGGGGATGGTTAACTACTGAACTTAGTCTCTGTCCCAGGATTCAACCATCTCAGTTTACTTAATATGAGAGATTGCAGTGTGTTTGGCCCAATACCCAGTTCTCCCAGAATAGACTGCAGTGTTGTTAATGACCCCTAGGCAATTTAGATATTGGTACTCAGGAAAAGCAATTAAAATCAATAGCTATGACACTTTGGCTATAGTGATTAAATCAGCATCATTTATAGCATTAAATACAAACTGAATATTGACAAACTTTAAGGAAGAATGAAACATCCCTTTTGTCCATGGAAAAGATATCTGTAATTATAATGTGGACAGTAAGACAAACCAAATAGTCAGCCATTATTGACCTACAGTAAATATCTACTAAATGGAACACCTTTACCTCTACTAATGATAGAACAGTACTTAAAAGCAATAGCATGAAGTTAACCATTTATTTACTGATTCATGAAGTTTAACTGTACTAGTTAAAATTGAGAGGGTGAGGAGCTGGAGGATGAATAAAAACAAAATTTAAAAAATTCATCAATGAGATTTGAGGAGGAGAGAAAAGTAGGAGAGAGGGTCTTATTAAGGAATAAAAGAAAATTAAGTGATAGAGAATAGCTACTGGAAAGAATGAACACAAAAAAGAAGAAAAAAGATAAATAGCAAAAACAGGAGATTAAAGAGAGAAGGAAGAGAAAAGAAGTTATGAGGGAAAAAGGCAAAAGGGAAAAAAAGAAGCTAAAAGAAGAGAAAAGCTAAAGTGAGGGAAAAAAGCTTCTAACCCCCGCCAAAAACCTGATGAAAAAGAGATAAAAAAATACAAAATAAGAAAATAAAAAAAATTCCATCAAAAAAAAAAAATTCCTGTGTTACTGAATGAGTGGTTTCTTTCCACAATCTGTGGTCTTTTGATCCAGCCAGGTATGATTTTCTCTGCCTGGCTTCTGGTCCTGTGGGTCTTTGAGATGCCCTCCTTGTACTGGAGGCTGCTCTGCCCATTCATCCCAGAGTGTGGTTACCTCAAGGTAAGGCGTGTCCTTGCGCCTGTTGGTAGATGGGGATTGCAACCAGCCCTCTGTTCTCCCCTGGATGTAGGTCTCAAAATGGGGGTTCAAGTGGGCTGTTGGACTGAGTGTTGACAGTCATGGGGTCTGTTTTCTTCCTTCCTTTTCTGGAATTTGTCTTTGTCCAGGATCAGTAGGTTAGTTAGTTTTTGCCTCTGCTGCCTAGTGCTGTGCTCCTCTGGTTGAGGGGAGGCCTTGCTCTTCTGCTGCAGGTCTGCTTTAACTGGTTTCCTTTAAATGGAGTTTTTAGTATCTATAGGAATGTTGAATTTATCTTGTATTTATTGTGTATATCAGTGATCATCATGCGAACGATTATGTCAATTTTAAGAGTAAGCTATGTTTGTTGTACTGTAGCAGTCCATCATCCCTTTTGTCTTTTTGAAATTGCTTACAATTTTGATTACTTGAAAGAAATGTGAAATAAAACTAAATAACTTCCTTTTTCTCCTTTCTTCCTTAGAATCAAGTTTCTTACTGGGAAATGCCCAAATTGTGGACTGGCCTGTAGTTTATAGTAATGACGGTTTTTGTAAACTCTCTGGGTATCATCGAGCTGATGTCATGCAGAAAAGCAGCACTTGCAGGTAGGTAACAGAACAATTTAGGAATCTTTCCTAAAATTGAAAAAATTCTGAAAGGTGCCAAAAGGGTTATGTTTACTCAGTCCAATATAGAAACTAATGGGTAAGAATTATATTAGAAAATTAAAAAGACCACTTTGGTAATGGAGATATATAATTTAAGAGCCATTGTTTCTTTTTCAAAGAAAGGAATTTTCGCATATCTAAATTAATTCATTTCTTCAGATTTTTTTTGGTGAGCTGCTGTGAGGCAGGAGCTAGCGTAGGTGCTAGATGATCAGAGGAGCATCTGGATCAGAGATCCAGATGGTACCAGCACCTGTGGAGCAGCTGAAATTGTCCTTAACAAAGCAGAGTAAACTTCCCCAGCCAAGCAGAACATGGTTCCTGAACATTTACAAAACATGAAAATGAATCCTTAACATCCTGCATCAGTCATGTGCTTTTGAATGTTGGCTCCTTGTACCGTTGCTCTTTTGTTTGTCCTATATAAAATGGAATCTAAAGCCCAGTGTGATGGAACATACCCATAATCCCAGCTCTCTGGGAGGCTGAGGCAGGAGGATTGCAAATTCCAACCCTGCCTGGGTAACTTAATGAGACTCTGTCTCATTAACCCTTTTTATAAAAAATAAAAAGGGTTGGGGATGTAGCTCAGTGCAAAGGCCCTGAGTTCAATCCTCAATACTGACAAAGCAAAACAAACAAAGATAGAAACACCAAGTGGAATCTGACGTTATCTGACATTTACATTACTTACGATACTTTTTAAAAAGTAGGTCATTTCTGCAAGTTTAAAGAGGGTATTTTAATAAAAGGGCACCAGAAAAAAAAAGAATAAGACACTATATATAAGGTTCCAATTTAGATCTAAAATTCAGTAAGACCATATGGGATGCTTTTTCTTAGTTTAATTTTTCTTTAAAGCTCTCACTTAACTAAGCCTTGACACCAAATTATACTAGCATTGAAAAAGATCTGAATTTCTTTTCTAGTTCAAATCCTGTTTTTCAGATGGAAAACTCAGGTAAACCTTTGTCAAGGGTCCTGCCCAGGGAAACACAAGGGTTATTTATTTATTTATTTTTTCTTTACTTGGTTATGCGGAGCAGTCATTCGTTCCTCCCACAATAGGGATTTTATATCAGTGTGCCTAAACCCGACTCTATACATAGGAATCACTCAAACAGCTTTTGCACAGCAGAAACTCCTGTATCTCTTAACTCTGTTCAATCAGAGTTACTCAAAGTAGGTAGACTGGGCCAGTAGTTAGTATTTTTAACCAGGAGCTTAGATATTCTGGTGCTTACCCCGGTTTGAGAAATAATCTGTTCAAACATCCTTGTTGGTCACTTACCTTCCTCCCACTGTCCTCATTTTCCCTCTGCTAGCTATTCCTCATTCGCTCTTCACTCTCAGCTGTGAAGTTGGTAAATGGGAGCAAGGCGAACCGTGGCCTTTGATGGAGAATCTTCTTTGTGAGCACTGACATCATTGTGCCTTTTAACCAGGGGGTAATCATTTGCTTTTGTGCTGGCACTGTCAGTAAGGCCTGTATTCTACATTCTGTGTCATGCATCGCTACTCCCCTGTATCCCCAGCAGGGTGTAGGTTAGGAAGCAGTGAAGTGCTATGGTCTACATTATCCCGTGCAATGGGCTTGATAAAGAATTTCAGGGACTGTAAATGCTCCCACACCCTTTCTTCTTCTGGACCACTCACATCTCATTTTCATGCTGAGTGTTGTTTCTCAGATGTCATCTTCCGCCTGAAAGTATTTACAGTTCTCTCAACAAGATGGTCTCTTCCTTCTGTGACTTCTCATGGTTCGATGAATTTCCGTTGACATCATTATTGGCTTTAAATTAGGCTGCCTTATCCCTTGGTGTCTTGGGTACTTTTTCATTGCTGGGACAAAATACCCAAAACCCACAAGTTGAAACGGGAAAGGTCTTTCTCAGTGCAGTTTGTAGAACTTTTAGTCTATAGTCAGCTGGCTGCAAGGCGGGGCAGCATGGCAGAGATGCATCACAGAGGAGAACAGTCCATGGCACGATGAGCAGGAAGCAACAAGCAGTTCTCCCTTTTATCCGATCCAGGCTACAAGCTTTTTGGGTGGTGCCACCTGCACGTAGCATGGGCCTTCCCGTTATCCACACTGAGAAGTATGATAAGCCAATCAGTGAACTAACCCAGTATCACACACTCTTAATCCCATCATCACACATCCTAGATCCCACTACCTCTGAAAATCCCTACCTATGACTGCCTGAGGCTTAGTGGGGACAGTTAGATACAGGCCACAGCACTTTGGTTTTTTATTCTCATTGCTTTTGTTGTCATTTCTGAGAAGTATTGCTATTCATCTTTGATATGTTGCAAAACTCTGTGTCCATCCCTTCTTTTGTGCCGTGTATTTCCCCGATTCCCAGCCTGCTTTATTTGGGAAGTGCAGTTTTTTCTATAAAAGGATTCACTGAAAAGAATGCTGGCATATTATATTAATATTCACTTCTTTGAAGGAGTCACAGTTCTCTTCATACTAACAGTACCTGATTAAGTACTTTGAAATCAAGGGCTCCATCTTTTTATGCAGTAAAGAACACAGGGCAGTATTTTATGTCAGTTTTTGTTGCACTAGGTTGGCTTGTTTTGCAATAAGCCCTAACCTAGGTCCCCCATACTTCTGTAAAACATGTTTCTATTTATCACATTTCATCCCAAGTGTTAGAGCATTTGAGGTGGGCGGGGGTGATTTTTGGATTACGTTGAGCATTTTCACTATGCAAGAAGCACGCAAATCTTCCCTGAAGTCTTCTTCACCTATTAGAGACACTGTTTGCAAAATGATCACATTCTGAACATAAACAGTTTTTACTGCTTGCACAAAATGCCAAGTGTGTTTTGCTAATCTAAAAATTGCAGCCAGTTTAAGGCCCACACAGAGCGCAGAAGTCTAGAGTCTGATAAATGAGCAAGTGATATATAAGGTCTGGCAGGGTTTCTTGGAAGCTTGATTTATTTTCATTTGTTCTAAATTTAAACCTCCCCATCCCCCTTTAAAAATTAAAGCGTACTCATTTTATGCTTACTGCAGCGTTCTTTAGGAAGAGTAGAGACCTGGAAACAATCAAATATCTAGTTGTACAAGGTATGTTAAAAGATATTATGTCAAAGCCCTAACTTTTTAGATTGTGTCAGAAGGATAACACTGGAAAAGGCTAATTCTATACTATCAAGTTAAAAAATACCTCAAACAAAACCCCCTAGAAAAACCACTCCCAAACAGCTTACAAAACAGAAGTATCTGCATCACGCTTCTGGTTTTTAAAAAACATACAGCCTTTTTTCTTGCAGGTAAATAATTATAATTACCTATCATATATTTTAAAAAAACATTTAAATGTGAATTATTTTATGGGGAGATAAAAGACATTTTTATTTTTACAATATCAGAAATCTAAGTTTTCCAACTTCTGTTTTTAAAATCTTTTTCGTTTTTTTGTCCTTTCCAGCCCCGTCCCACTGGACAGAATCAAATTAAGCATGCATCTCAGTTTGTTACAATATTATCATTGTGCTATCTTTATTTCCTTTTAAAAATGTCTTTTCTGCTTCATCTCATCTCCCTATTTGGTTGTGTTAATTGTATGTCTTTTTACTCAACTTCTATTTATTTAATATGTACAGTCCTGATGTAATGCTACTTTCTGTATGTTCCTTTTTTAGATTGTCTACATAACTGCCCCCATTGCTGCCATGAAGTAACATACATATTTAACTCTTTTTATTCAACATTATGCTTTTGAGATTTCTTTATGTTTTTGCACCATAATTGATTTCCTTAGGTCTGGGTGTTGTCCAGTGCTCCAGGGTCTTTGCAGCTTTCCTGTGTCTATTCATTTTGTGGGGCATAGACTCCTAGTTCTGATGCTTTGCTACCTCAAAAGACTGGGAGATAAACACCCTCAAACACATCTTCTGTGGCCTTGTATGAGCTTAACTCTGTGCCCAGAGTTGGGATTCATGCATAGTAGAACAGGTGCAGAATTCTTAAATTAAGTGCTCTCAGGGTGCTATCCAGAGTGGCTTTTGATTTCTACTTTTACCAGCCCTCAACAAGAGTTCTGGTTTTCTGATTCCTTACTATGTGATAATATTATGTAAGCTTCTAAAAAGTTTATATATCCTAGGTGCTGTCTTATTTTTATTTTAGCTAAAATTAAAAAAAGAACTATGTCATATTAGGATTCCTGGGAATTTCAGATATATTCCTTTTGTCTCTAATGACTGAATTTCCAACTCTTGGCCTCTTCTGCTGTTCATTAGAGGATGCAGAAAATAGTGCATGTTTTGAGGAGATTATAAATTTTGAGGGAATGACATTTAAAAGCATATGAGCTCATTTGATGGTTCTTAAGATGCTCTGACATTTCAGACATATTGTCATAGTTTACGTAGGAATCACTTGAGCCTTTTAGTTTTCATGAATCCGCCACTTTAGGAAAACCTAGTAGACCTTTGTGTTTTTGGATAGAGGGATAGAAGGGTGAAAAGGGCAGTCAGGCAGTGTGGGTAGAGAGCATTGAGGGATAAAGAGATACTTTTAAATACATTCTTTTGGAAGGCTATTAATAGTCCCTTACCCAAGTTATCAAATTAGACGAGGGAGCAGAGGTATTAAGAGATATATTATTGAGTGGATTGCACAAGCAGTTTTATCAATACAGGATTGCCTTGGCAGACGACAAGAACACACCACCCATGATTTATGTAAGTCAGTATGGCTCCATTTCACTAAGAGTTCTGTGGCGCTGAAGAGGTACCTCTGTGATGTCAGATGTGTAGGTTAGAGACCTACAGTGCCTGGTTTTCCTTAATTACATGTCATGGATCTACTCCTTAGGACTCTATCTAATCCTTTAAAAACTATATAAAGTAATGCTTTGCAAAACCGTTGGTTACGATCCATTGTATAAAGTAATGCCTTTGAAAATTACCTC